AAAACGTTTATCAAGTCATCTGCCTAACTGAAACCTGGTTGACAGAAAGCATCGGCGACGCTGCACTTTTTCTGACAAACTACGTTATCCACCAAACTGACAGACCGAGTGACAAAGGCTTGACAAAACATGGAGGCGTACTCATAGCAGTAAACCGTAACATTCCAAGTAGCCAAATCAATTCCGCGTTTCAAGATTGTGTTATCATCCGCATATCACTGAACAAGCCGATTTTAATATGCTGCATCTACAGCGCTCCTTCAAACAGTACCTACGCATGGGGAATCTCAGATCTAATCGAACTCCTAAAGCTCCTGAGGCGTAAGCAATTTGAACAAAGTGCAATTTGTTCGTATATAGTTGGAGATATAAATTTTAACTGTACTCACTGGCCGTCAATAACTTCAACTTCTCTAGATGAGCAGTCAATCCTTGACGAACTCTGTGAGTCAAATTTCCAACAACTAATAAAAACCCCTGATGGTTAATCACTAGACATTCTCCTTAGTAACAAACCGCAATTTGTCACCAGCGTAAAACTTGACAACCGTCTGAGTAGTCTATTCAGTTCCGACCATTTGCCACTCCATGCCAAACTGTCATTTGACTACCGACCTGTTCATAAAAAGACACCAGCCATCAAACAAAAACTAGATTTTGGCATTTTCGCGTACAAGAAAGCAAACTGGGAAGAAGTGAATGAATTCATTCGTCAACAACCCTTCCAACCATTTTGCTTGAGCAGTGTTGAACTGATGCTCGATTCTTGGTACGAGTGGTTATACGAAATACTACAGGACATGCTACCTATCACTACAAAACACAGGTCTGAACAAGCTCCTTGGGTGGGAAGCGATTCCTCCAACCTTATCAAGAAATTAAATACACTCCAACTTAAAAATCAGCGAAAACCTACCCCATCGATTGAAGGCAAAATTGAAAATCTGCAAACTGAACTAACACTTTCCCTTCAAAATGACCAGCATCTCCACGAAATAATGCTTTTTGAGAATGGGAAATTTAGCGAAATACAACGATATCTGAAATCAATCACCAAGTCTCGCATGATGCCTTCAGAGATCTTCCTAGATCAAAAAATAGCCAATACAGACGCTCAGAAAGCTGAATTGTTTAACATATTTTTTCAATCAGTTTTCACACAAAACGCCAACGTTGGGAAAGCAGAACGACAAGGTAATGGTCTTCTGAACAGTATCAGTTTCACAATCGATGAAATAGAAGATGCCCTGAATGAGCTGCACGTAAATAAGGCAAATGGACCAGACATGATCGGTAATACTCTTCTGAAAAACTTCTCAAAGTCACTACCAAAATCACTTTACTTACTGTTCAACTTGATTGCAAATAAAGCGATATTTCCAACATAATGGAAGATCAGCGAAATCGCACCAATTTTCAAAGACGGGGATAAACAAGACTTATCAAATTACAGACCGATCAGTCTGCCCTCAGCAGTGTCAAAACTGCTTGAGAAACTAATATTTGATAAACTTGCCCCAATTGTCTACCCAACACTAACACCAGACCAACACGGATTAGACCTAAACGATCAATGATAACAAACCTAATAGAGTATCTACACGAGATATTTAGCTGCCTAGATTCGCCAAACTGCAACTACCTGAACACCTTCTACTTGGACTTTCAAAAGACTTTGGCAAAGTCTCGCACGGAATCCTCATGCAGAAATTATCGACTTCTGGAATTGGAGGAAAATGTTTATCTCTGATACACAGCTACCTCTCGAACCGGAAGCAAACAGTGAGGCTAAATGACACAATTTTCGGAGAGCTGGAAGTCTTTAGCGGCGTTCCCCAGGGCTCTATACTCGGGCCGCTTCTCTTCCGAGTCTTCATAAATGATCGACCGTCCTGTGTCATGTCCGCAAATTTTGGTTATGCAGACGACTACAAAATCGTTGGAGACAACCCTTTTACTCTCAACATAGATGTTAGGAGACTTTGGAAGTGGTGCGAGGAAAACTGCATGTCAAGGAACCTGACGAAAAGTAAAGTCCTCTGTATCAAAGGATCAGCTACGATTGCACTCCCCAGTTACAGCTTCGAAACCACTGAAGTAATGAAAGATCTGGGCATCCTGATAACCGACACGCTCTCTTGAACGCAACACGCAAAAAAGAGGGCTGAAAAAACCTTAAACGCTCTCTTCGTACTCAAAAGGAATCTCTCAAAGGCGAATTTCGCGACCAGTAAAAATGCATATATCTGTTACGTTGTGCCAATTCTGTGCTACGGTTCAGCTATCTGGAAACCATCAAAAGGTGACTTAGGAATCATAGAAAGTGTGCAGCGGAAAGCGATCTCGTGGATTTTCATGACAAGCAATAGTCATATCTCCTATAAAGACAAACTCGTGAAACTTAACATCCTTCCTTTGTCTATATACCAAGAGCTTCATGTTGGACTGCTGTTTGCAAAAATACTAGCTGGAAAAGTTGACATCGACTGGAGAAGCCATGTAAGCATCACTGACGTTGGAAACTGAAGAGCTCAAATGACACGAAATTTCGTCTGCAAACAAATGCGTCTGAAGAAGTGCGAGTCGGATTTCTGGTTTCGGGTATGTCGTTTTGCTAATCTGTACAACGAATACTTTAAATGTGACATATTGTTTGACCCAGAATGCAAAAACAGACTTCTAGGAATGTACACTAAGTTTTTTCAAAACTCGCTACAACGAATCAGACACATGCACTTGGCGCATTTTATGCGAATGCAACAACTGTAGAGACCTGAAGAAACTTACACTAATAACTGAAAACTAAACTCTGAACAATGCAATGACTGGGTTTTATGCGAACCCTCGGATTATATTCCTAAATCCTTTGTTATTATCATTATTATTATTATTAATATTATTATGATTATTATTATTTGTAAGATCGATGAGATGGGGTCCATATTGTCGAATGCTTAAAATCAACCTTGTAGGACTTAAGAATTTTTTAAAATTGTTAATTCAAACGTTTTCGCACATTTTGTGCATCGTCAGGATATAAAATTTTTTATTTACAATAAAATGATCAAAGATCATGTATGAAATTCAAAAAGAACATGTTAGAAATTTTTAACCAATCACATTCTTACATCTGTTATTACGTAATCTTTATTTCATCGATTATGACATTTTCCATACTTTTTTGTTACTTGAGTCATAATTTTTCGATTTGATGTTTTATCCAAACTGACATGTCAGTTTATTTTTTCAAAAATTGCAATTTTTAGTCATGTGTAAACATGTACTATAATTTTAATGTCAGCTCCCTGCTCCTGAACTCCTCGCGCGTGTTAATTCTGGGGCGTTCTTTCCAAATATGTAAGGCCTCCAGAGTGAGGAGTTTCTGTATGTTACTTGATTGATCTATAATCTCAGACTTAAGCTCAGCGCTCTTACCATCCCTGTCACATTCTCTCAAATGTTGCCCTACTGGCGAATCTTCCTTGTGATGCTCTCCAATCCGCGTGGTCAAATGCCGGACCGTTTGTCCAACATAGGTGGAATTACATCCACTACATGTGAGCTTGTAGACCACTCTGGATTTCAAATCTTTCGCAAAGGGAGATTTAAGGGACGGTAGGCAAGTCTTGAGCTTTCTCGTAGTAAATATCACTTGGGCTCCGGCGTTTTGACGCAGTTTGGCAGCAAACCACTCCGATGCATTACCCCGGTATTGTAATGTTATAATGGGTGCACTGACCTTTAAAGAATCTTCCTTGACTGATGTTACCGTTGTTCGTGTGTCAGTTTTTCTTCGATGATCTTATTCAACGTTCTTAATACGACACCATCTGACCATTTTTCAGGGTATTGATTATCCACCCATTGTTCTTTATTAATCTTCATTGCCTTGTCAAAGTTTTCCCAATCTGATGTACTTCTAAAAATCCGATGAACAGTACCCTCAACTACATTGCGTTTATATTGCAATGGAGCGCAGCTTCTGAAGTTAAGGATAGTCCCAGTATCCGTTGGTTTTTGATACCATCCACATGTTACCTTTTTTCGTGAGTCCACATTAATGTTCAAATCTAGAAAGGCTAAGTCTCCGTTCGAACCCGGATTTTCGATAGTGAATTGCAAGTTGGGGTGGAGCTCACTAGCTGCTTTTAACACTATATCTGGATCCCCCTTTACCGTCCTCACTATATCATCTACATATCTTAGGAACGCTTTGACATTTTCTGTTGGTTTTTCTTGATCTCGCTGCTCTTTACATCTCTTACAATACCAAACTATTTCTGAAATTTGCTCATATTCTTTGTCGGATACATTACTACACTTTAAATGGTACCAATTTAAACAAGCTTCGCATTCGATCCCCTTACTTCTGTATGTTACCCTCCGCTCGCAATCAGGGCATAGGCCATTCCGGTTTTCATTTAGCTGTGTCAACGCAGGTACTTCCTTCATTAATGCATATTCGTACTCCTTTAGCCATAAATTGGCAAGAATGACAGCAAGGGATGCACCCATTGCCAACCCATCCTTTTGTACGTACCATAAACCATTGCATTTGAAGTGCACCTTACTTACAGCCATGTTCAACAATTTCTTCATAGTTCCGCGTGCCAGTTTAGGAGGACTAGTTTGTTCGTACAGTTTCCTCAGTGCTATATCTATTGCCTCCTTTAGTGGGACATTAGTGTACAAACTTTTGACATCCAGGGAGATAATACTCTCATTATAGTCTAGATCTATGTTCTCTATGATCTCCCGAGCCATTTGTGTGTTTGTCTCAATGTTTGCCCCCTCTAAATGTTTGCCCCCTCAATCCACTTGTAGGACTTCTCTAATAAATCTCGTTTTCCTTTTTTAAATTTTTTCTCCGTTCGAATTCATCTTTGTTTCTTCTTCGAATTCATCTTTGTTACTTCTTCTTGGTGAGAAGCTCAGCTTCGCCTCTGTTTAGCAATATACATACACTTCTTTTTTAATCTATGATTTTTAATGCTAAACAGTTTTTTTTACAGATAGTTATTAATGTTGCCTCTCTTCAATTCAAATATTAAATGGAACAGTTAATTAGCAAAGACGAAGACTGGGAGCAACAAGCAGATTCTGGCGTAAGTCAAAATTCTTCGACGAGACATTGGATTGTACCATTGGCACTGCGTTCCAGATGAACATAATGTTTTTTGTTACAGGTATTGGACAAACGAATCGAGGAACTCGCAAAAACAGATCAATTGCATAATACGATGTAAGTTTTTCTGGAATTGTAATCACAAGTCAATGAAGGAAATGAAGACAATTAAGTTCTGAAAGTTTTATTCCAGGATAAAATTGTTCATTTTCGAAGTTTTTATTCGCCTTTTAACATCGGATTTCGCTTTAAGTTCACCTTAATTTCATTAAGCAGCGGCGTTTTTTATTATCACCTGTGAAATTTTGAAAGTAATTTTTGAGTTTAAATTGTCTAATTGTTACAAAAATTGGCATACTGACTGATTAGGCGATAAAAACTTTGTTGTTTGTAACACTTATCACACTTAGCCTTATGACACCCCCTGAAACATGAAATTAATGCTCATTTGAGGCGAGGGGGGCGGGGGCGGAGAGCCCATTTACCAAAGGGAAGAAAAATTGCGCGCTCCAGTAATAAAAGTGCCAGTGGGGGGTAAGAAACTTGATAAACTTTTGTTTCGAAACTGGGTTTTCCAGTGGAATATAAACATCAAGTTTTGATCCTTTTTTTTGTCAAAATTGGTTATTTTTTAAGTGTCAACCGTAAAAGATTTCTGATTTCAAGTCCAAGAGCTGTAAGATAATATTCAAATCAGAAGGGGTGAACTTTGTATTCGGGTGTGTTTTAGTTTATTTTTTATGTTCCGACCATTCGAAAAATGGGAAAAACTTTGTATTCGGGTGTTTTAGTTTCTTTTGTTTTCCTCGAAAAATCAGCTAACCACAAATAATCATCGGAGGGAGTTAAATGATATATCATATTAAAGCTTTTACAGTCACGATTCGAACGACATTAAAAAATTTCAAAAAATCTCCCAGTGTCGAGAAAAACCGGTTTGAATTTTTTGGTTTTTCTTAATTCGAGCGAATAAAGCGAGGGAGCTGGCTTACAATAGCTTATTTTAATGACTTAAAAGCTAACGATAGCTTAATTTGAAACGTAAAAATTTAGTTTTACTCGAGTAACATTAGTTTTTTTGGTATTTTAGCGCCTTTTTGGAATCAATTCGAAAAAATGGATAAAATTTTTTCAATTTTTTCTTTTCCGTTTTTCCTACAAAAATTTGCTTATTTTTTATTTTACAATGACTGTCAAATATGCCTAATCTCCTGTTTTTTTTTTCAGCTCCTTTTATCACACCACGCCGAAAAAAAAACCACGCAGCTGCTTTTATCACACCACGCTCTAGTTTTTTTTTAGCTCCTTTTATCACAGCACAGTAACCGACCATCCTTGTTTTTTTTTAGAAATCGTATCATATAGTAGAGACGTGAAAGTCACCTTAGTCGACATTAACAGTAGAGATATTGCGATTTTGAAAAGATTCTAAGATGCCGTCTAGATGAATAGTTTTTTTTTTTCAGTGTGGTCTCTAATCCAATTGAGGCTCCAGAAGAAGTTGAAGCGGTACAGCCAGTCATGCAGTTCAAGATACTGAAGAAGAAACCATCCGAATGTAAGTACTTTGCTGAGAGACTGGGACTTAATACAAACATAGATAAGTCGTTGCTAGCCATGTTTTTTTTCTAATAATTTCTGATCAAATTTGGGTGAAGTTGATTGAATTTCATTTTTTAGAAAGCTTAAAATGAACTTTTCGGACCATAAAACAATAAAAACATGATTTTTTTTCTCTTTTGTTATATCTTTTTCAAAGGGTAGCTTTGATAGAAGTTTTACTGGCTACTTCTCAAGTGGCTTGCCGTGTATAATATATACTTTTTGGTGAAGATATAGAAGTAATAAGTTTCTTATCTACTGATTTTAAATTCGTTCAAGTGCTTTGTGACCTATAATATCAGAACAAAAACACTGTGAAAACCAATGAGTCTTTTTGCTCATAATTTGAAAATTTTATCATCAATTTTGAATGATTTTTTTTCGCTAGGTCTTGTTGTTAACTTCATTTTATTCTCGCATTCCGTGTATTTATGTTCAATTCAATTTTGAGCAGTTTAATTGTTTTTTAAAGATTTTTGGTTTTATACCTGCCAAACGTTTCTATAAGTGAAGAAAAATAGAAATAGATGTCTATTTTTTTTCTGCGGCAACGTTTCTGGTTCTTTTTGTCCTAATTGAGTTGGGCTTACGTTCTAGTATTTTGGCGTCTCAATTCTCTTCATGTATGAGAACTTTTTAAAAATCGATTCAATGCAATGGTAGATTGCTTTCTTGTCAAATCGCAAAAAAAAATGAAATATCCAAAGGTTCTCACTAATTTTTCTGCTTTAATTTTTTTTCGGACTATGTTGCTTCTGCTTGTTTGTCAATTTAGTTCCCTCTACGCGCTCTCTTGTTGATGGTTCAGCAGTTAATTAATTAGAGATGACCTTTTCTGAAACTTGAAATGGTGCAGGTAACTTTATTACGAGATTGCGACAAATTTTAATCGATTTTTTAGGTAAATGTTTATCGCATATCAATGATATTGCACTTTATTTGAGCTCTTATACAATTGATATTATTTTTCGGATGCGTGTTGTTAGTCCGTCCGACGTCCCCTGATGTTATTCAAAACGGAGATTGCAAACTTTAATTAAAAGTTAATCCGCCTGGTTTTGGTGGCTGAATATAATTTTGTGTTCTCAATCAGTATTGAGAAGATTAGCATCTAACATACCATGAACTTTACTATACATCACAATAGTTATAAATATCAACATCACGCCACTAATCAAAGGTCAATGTCTTTAGTTACGAAGGTGAATGTTAAAGTTCATGTATGTTACATAACCACTCTTCTGAATTTTTTCCCACTAGTTTTTTTTGACGTTGCTATCGCAATAGATTTGACATCTCTTCTCAAACTCTTTGTGGCTTCTGGAAATATGTGCTTGTGTGATGGTACGGCCAAGTTCCGTATAAATCCAGCCGGAGTCTTCAGTGTGGACTTTTTCTCACATCTGCAAGTTTTCCTCTCGTCCTGGCATCTCTTCGGAATAATCCACATGGTCATTTGAAGAATTTTCTCGTCTGTTACTATAGCGGTGTCAAAAATTTGGAGACATCTGAATACTCCGGCTGGTTTTCTACGAAACTTGGTATGTTAGATGCTAATCTTGTCAATACTGATTGAGATGACAAAATTATATTCAGCCACCAAAACCAGGCGAATTAACTTTGAATTAAAGTTTGCATTCTCCGTTTTCAATAACATCAGGGGACGTCAGACGAACTAACAACACACATCCGAAAAATTTTTTCAATTGTATAAGAGTTCAAATAAAATGCAATATCATTGATATGCGATAATGTTTGAAAATATTGACCGAATTGCTTTCGGCCAGTTCGGGTTTTCTCTGTTTGTTGTATCGCTTAGCTTCGTTTCTCGGCTTTTGAGCCATTTAAAACAATAAAAAATTGAATTAAAATTATTCAAGAAACTTTTAAAAATTGTTGGCATCGTTTTTCAATTTTTCTGAAACTATTTAAATTTTTTTAAGCAATTTAAATTTTTCTGAAGTCTGTTTTTGCAGTTTCTCTACTATTTTTCGGTACTTTTCGCAATTGTGAAAATTAAATCGAAAGCAATTTTTGGGGCATATCTTTTTGCAACAAAATCTTATCAAGTTTGTCGTGAAAATTTAGATTGTTTGCTCTTTTCGCGGAACTGAAAAATGAAATTGACATTACTAAACTGGGTACTTTGGCATTGGATCGAATACCGCCCGATCAATTTAAATTTTTTTTTCAATTTAAATTGTTTGACTTAAGTTAAAATTTTATTTAAATTGAGTGGGCTCATAATTAAGAGTAATGAACGTAGTGAAGACTCTGATATAGGTCTTGCTGATTTTTTTTGTTTTTTTTCAGGAAAAAGTCTTAAAATATTGATGCACTTAGGTATAATGCACTTTTTGAGTTCAATTGAAATTCATCTGCTGAAAGTGACGTAAATAGCACTCTCCAAATACGAACATGGAAATGGCGCGAAAATACGTGAACGATTTCTAGTTTCGAAAGTGGAATTTGTTTTTTAAGATTTCCCAGCGGAATAAAAACTTTACCTATTGATCGAGTGTTCTCAAGTTGGGCTCATGTTATCAGAAAAGCGCAAATCATACATTATTCTAGAAATTCAAAGAGCTTAAAGGGCATCTGTTATTTTCTTTGAAATTCGAAAGTTGAGATTTGTTCAAGAAAGTCAGTGTTGTTTGTTTACTTGCGTTCATTACTCTTTTCCAATGTTCGATTGGCTCTGCGTTCACATTTTAATAAATTGAAATTTTAACGAAAATTTATTTTAGTTTGAATTGTTTTTTCAAATGAAAATCACTGCTTCTGAGTAACTCAATGTGTTGAAGCGAAGCTGGTTTCAGATAGAAGTTTTTGCCTGTGTAATTTATTTCGAATGGTTTTTGCTGACTTTTCATTACAAACAATTTCGTAATACGCTTGAATTTTCGTTGGTTTTTCTTTCTTTTTTGTTATTTTTTTGCATAGCAACTGGTACGAGGCTGACCGAGACCCAGTAGGAGCTCACCTTTTACTTTGTAGCGTACGTGAGATTTTCGAACTCGCAATCTTATGATTGCTTCCAAGCTTCACTACTTGAGCCACAAAACAAATGATACGCGACCACTTTTTTTCTCACGCAAGCAACACTTTTCTGTTCACAACTATATCCGCATAATTACATAATTGAAAGGGTAAAATCTTTTCGCACTCCTTCCTCACTGAGGGTGAAAAGGTACTATGGTGTAGGGTGCTTCTTTTTCTTCCCAATTTTGAATACCTCAAGGAAAGCTAGTAGGGGGTCATATTCAATAGAAAGCTAGTAGGGGTCTTTTCAGCCATGATTCGTGTCCCAAAAAATTTAAAAAAAAAATCAGTGTCGAGAAAAGTTGGTCTGAATTTTTATTTTTTTTAGATAGTGTAATTTTTTTCTGATTTTCACTAAACAAAAAAATCAGTTTTGTTTTTTGGTTTCTAGTTTACTAAAAAAATTTCTAACTGTTTTTTGGCTATTTTTCAGATAAAGGTAAATTCCCTGATTGACATATTTTTCAGCTGCTTTCAGATATTTGGTTCAAAGATGTTTTTTTAGAATAAAAATTTTTTGAGATGTTTTAAAGCAAAAATTTCTACGAAAAAGCTAAAACAAATTGAAAAGGGGAAAATTTCATTTTCAGCAACTTTTTTGTACTTTTAGCATCAGCTTCACCAAAATCCCAATCAAATAAAAGTGCTCAAGCTGGAGATGGGGGCAAGGGCGCCGCAGCCGACACGAGAACTTTCGAGCAGCGAGAGGAGGATTATCTGAAGGCGCGTCAGAGGATCTTCGGAGACGTCGAAGAAACCAAAGATGACAATAGCTCCTTAGCTGCTGACGGGTTGGAAAATTTTCCACCAATGTCTATTTTCGGTTGCGAAATACATTAATTTAGAATTATCAATAAAAAGTTTTGCTGATGCTAAAAATGCGTAAACGTAATGTTTGATTATGGTAATCATTTGTTCTTATTGCGGTGTTCTTTCATTTCTAATATTTTTAGCAGGGAATCTCCCAACTCTCCAAATGAAGAAATGAACATGTCACAACAACAATACCCCAAACAGAAAGTTGCTCAAAACAGTGTTAACCCTAGTGCGTCAAATCAACTGCCCCAGACTCAAAATCAAGCAGTGCAAAAGCAACCCCCCACACCACAACCGTCTTTACATGTGCCACAGACAAACAGTAGTCTCGCCAACAATAATGGAAGAGTATCCCAATTAGGCCACAAACAGAGTCAAACTCAATCCCAGAACCACAGTCACTACCAACAGACACGGAATAATCTGAACCCTCAAACTGTAGCTGCCTCCCAATATCAGCAACCGAATCAATATTTCCATTCTAGTAATCGTAGTGTGAATCCGAGAGGAAACTCTAATAATCAGATGTACAGTGGCATACCCTACCATCAGCAACAACAATATCAACAACACCCGAGAGCAAATGGCAACAGCAACAACCAGGGCTACCAGCAGAAACAACAACACTACTCTCAGTCTGGTTTTCCCCATCAAACGGGGGGACCCCAGCAAGGCCAACTTCCTCATGGCTTCTATGCCAACTCGAGCCACAGCCACGCTAGTTACTTCCACGGTCCATCACCCCAACCTCACATGCAATACCAACAACACCACCCGATGCCCCCCTACATGCACGCAGCGCAACCCCACCAGCAACAGCAGCAGCACTACATTAACAACAGCTATAGCAACAGCAACTACCTCAAACCCAGGAAGAGGTAAAGTGGCGGCCCTAGATGATATAGAGGTACTTTTTGGGTGAAGAAGCTAGGCTGAAAATGAATTTAATGAACTCAACAGAAACTGAATTTGTTCTTTTAAGACTTTTGAACGTTGGGCATCAAATTTTTTCAATTTTTTAAGCTACTAATCAATCTTTCTTGCGTTTGATCAAGTTGAAGCTTAGGTGGTGTTAATCTCAATCTTTGATGTAGGGAAATTGTTTGATGTCCATCAGTTTGTGTGATCTACAGCCTAATATACATGCATTTTTGCAGTCGTTTGATTTGAGTTGAATGTGGTATAGTGAATAGTTTTTTCTTATACCATAGCATAACATGCCATATCAATCTCTTCTCTTTTGCGAGGTTGCACATGTACAACACCTACAGACTTCTTAGCTATCTCTTTCAACATCTCGTGATTTTTATTTGCCACAATGTCATTCTTAGTTTTGTATTGTATGGCCAGCATGCATTGAGACAAACTTTTCTTAATTTAATTTTCAAATTACTCGTTTTCACCCTTAAACTGTCCTCTAATTGCCAGTTAGTGGGCGTCGCTCTTCAGTCTTTTGACCTATAAGAGTGGAAACTAATGCAATTAATGACTCAGTTAACTGACTGTGTTTTGGTCCGAAAAAAAACTAGACGACAAAGAATCGAAGTTTGTGGCTTTTGTACGTCTTGCAAAATAGACGCTTGAAAGAAGGAACTTATCCATTATTTCACTTGCGAGAGCAAGTGTACTTGTAATCAGGAACTAGACTTTTTCCCCTTTAACAACTTTTCTTACAAAATACTGCTGCATTTGCTTTCAAATGCAGGCTGCGCTGTCATCGTAGGTACTAAATAAGCGTAGGTACTATCAAGTGCAGGCATCGCAGGTGTTCAGTAGTTTTTTCAAATAAACTTAATGAAAAGAAATTAAATTTCGGATTCGTGGCTTTCCCCATATTTCCACCGGCTCATTTTCCGTTTTTTTTTTCAATGCAATTTTTTTATACTCTTTTTAGCAGCCTAAATTCCAAAAAAGGTATTTGTTTTAAATTAAACCGTTTATACTATAATTGAAAATTGTTTTCTTATTTATAAAAGCCTGATGTCGAAGAGTTATATTCTATTTTTAGGCCCATGTTATCGACGTAGTCATCTCATAATGCACCGTTTCTAAGGCAAAGTTTTTTAAAATGCTTGTTTTGGGATTCAGAGAGGGGGAGAGGTGGTCGTTAAAACTTCTTTGCTACAAACTTTTTAATTTTTTAATTTACCATCTACATTACAACAGTAATGAATACTATTATAAGGCATGGAGGGTGACCCAAAGAGAATTTCATCTCATCGAGTGGGACACCTCGAGAACTTAAAGAGCAGAGACATAAAGTCTCCAGAGTGGGCATCAATTAAAGAGCAGTTTGTGTAAGAATTCATTATCAAAAATATAATTATGGAAAAAAGATTCCTGAAAACGGTTCAGTTCTGATTTATTTAATTCGAAAAAATCTTTTGGAAGTAAATTATTCTGAAAAACAAAATTATATGCTATTGCTAGCCTACGTTTAAGAGAGAATTTCATGGCATTTGATTTAAAAGCTATATTTGTAATTTGTTTTTTAGTCTTGCTGCGGGTGTGAGGGAGCCTTTCTAGGCTCGATAAACTCAAAAAACTATTCTTATCGGGGCATCTTAAAATTTCAAATAATTCTTTGAAGAGAGACTTCAGAAACATATTAAAGACTGAATAAATTTTGTTTTCACTCATATATTGGGTTATTGGTTCAAATTTGCGTTTGAAGAATATAGCCCGCGTGATGCGTTTTTGTAGTTTTAAAATTGAATCGAGATGAGTTTTATATGTATTGCCATAAATAAGAATACCATATTGAATTACGGAATGAGCATATGCTCTGTAGAACAACAGAAGACTTGCTTTCGGAAAAACTTCACGACATTTGTAAACTATTCCACAGAAAGTTGATAACTTTTTAACAATGCCACATATATGTTGCTTAAAACTCAGTTTATTGTCAATTTTTAATCCCAAATATTTAACAGGCAATTGGCAGTTCGATTGAAAATTATCTCCAAATACATTGATCATTTCAACATTTTTCCCGAAACTCATAAAAACGCTCTTTTTACAGTTGATTGTCAGGCCATTACAATCAATCCATTTTTCAATATTTTTCATTTCGTTTTCAAATTTATTTGTCCTTATTGTACTTGAATAACATAAAGTTGTATCATCTGCATATAAAACTGGTTTAATTGTATTACAAACAATCGGAAGATCATTAATAAAGATTAGAAACAACAGAGGTCCTAAAACAGAACCCTGCGGAACGCCACATGTTGAATGTTCTATTCGAGATTCTTTTTGGTCAAAAGCAACATATTGTTTGCGATCAGTTAAATAACTCCGGATAAGTTTGTTCAGTTTACACCTTATTCCATACTTATCTAACTTAAGAATAAGTAGCTCATGATTTATTGTATCAAAAGCTTTTTGGAAATCGATGAAAAATGTTTCACCGTAACGGCGTTTATCAATAACTTCTCGAATGAACTCGGTAAATTCTAATAAAGCATCAGCGCAACTTTTTTTAGGTTGAAATCCGTATTGCTCTGGTGTGAGAATTCGATATTTTCTTAGAAACTTATACATTTTGCCAAAAATGATCTTTTCAAAAACCTTGCTTATCGAATTGAGTAAACTTATTGGTCTATAGCTTTCTGGTAGTTGACAATTACCATCTTTATAAAACGGAAGCACCTTTGCAATTTTTAGTGCATTCGGGAACGTTCCTTGCTTTATACATTGATTAAATAACTTTGACAAAGGTTCGCTAATAACCGTCGACGAGAGTTTCAAAATTTGATTACTTATACCATCCGGACCTGAAGACCCCTTATTTTTAATAAGAATAATTGTATCAAAAACTTCTTTTGTTGTTATTTCCTGAAAAACCATTGAATTAGGTATAGATTTAACATGCCTTAAGGCAATTTTATGATTGACTTTTTTACCACTTAATTTATTACCAATTTGTGCGAAAAACTGATTGAAGACATCAGCTTCAACTTCTATTTTGGCAGATGTTTTGCTTTGTATGAAATCGTTATATGCCTGAAAAATACTTTTATTGTTTTTCGATTTTTTCGATTTTTTGTTGGTAAAATTTTAGTTTCGAATTTCTTATTAGCGATGTGGTTAAATTTCGGGACAATTTATATTTCTCTAAATTTGTCGGAGTTGGATCAATTATCCATTTTTTGTAGAACATGTTTCTCTTTTGCATTTGCTTTTTAATATCCTGGGTAATCCAAGTTGGTTTTGCTTTATTATTCACCTGAGATAATGGGCAAAATTTATCTAAAATACGTGTTAAGCTGTTTACAATGTAAGTTATCTGCTCATCAGCGTTTAGTGAACTCTGCATTTTATTGAGTTTTTCATGTAGTAAGAAAAGGAAATCCACCAGGTTTTTGTCATTTTTCAATGGATTTATGTTTCGGAAAACGCTCTGTGTTTTAATGTCATTTTTACTTTTAAAGTCATCAATTTCAAGTAAAATTGAGTAATGGTCACTGATTACAGTTTTTAAAGTATTTATTTTGTTCAAACAAGAATTGGTAAAAATATAGTCAATACAAGACTGACTTGAAGATGTAACACGTGTGGGTTCAAAGTTGCGTTGGAGAAACCCATGTGAGTTCATTAATGTCAAAAAATTCTCACTAGTGATTGAAGCATCAAGTGAATCTATGTTAAAATCACCACATATTATTGTTTGGTTTTTCCAAGTAGCCACCGTATCCAGGAAAGATTCTAGCTTTTCAAAAAAGTCGTTTAGTGCAGAAGATGGTTTTCTATACAAAACAATAAAATTTTTCGAATGTTTTTCATTTTTAACAGATATAGCTAGAAACTCAAGATCTGATTCCAATTGCAATTTTGACACCTTTAAATCCGATCTAACGAAAAATGCACAACCACCTCCGCGAGTACCTTTTCTGTTAGTAGTTATTATAGGTTGGTAGCCTTCAACTGAATAAATTGATAAGGGATCATTGTCCGTTAGCCATGTCTCGCAAAGGGCTATTATTGGTGGCTTAACCTCAAAGTCGTCAATAAGAATTTTTAACTCATCATAATGACATCGCAAAGATCTAATATTCAAGAAAAAAAGAAAACTGCTATTTAATACGCCCACTTGTCTCCCCTCTAGGAGTTCTCGATAATATAATTTACTCATTTATCAACAAAAATAAGAAACAGAAAAAATTAGGCGCTGACTTGCAAGCCACGCTCAAACATTCTTGTATGCTTCATCAATCCCAACCCCATAGAGCATGCAAGAATGTATGAATAACTATGAACCTTCCTCGTAGGGATTTACAACATATTCTGAAAGAGTTTTTCTGTTTTTGCATAATTGCTCCAATAATTGTTCTCCTTCTTGCTCTGGGGAGTCACGTAATCGCTTCAGAATAGATTTAATATTCTCCTCCCGTTGAATATTATTTGCTCTGATTGGTGTCGTATTTCTTTCATAATCAGATACACTATAATTTTCCGTAGATTTTCCAGTTTTCGACTGAAATTTGTCAGATTTCTTAGTCGCTAAGTGTTTCATATCATCAATCGCCTTTTTCGAACTAACGGGAAAAGATTTGTAAATTCCTCTGTCGTCCATTTTAAACATTTTAACCTGACAATTCTGACTGGTATTTACAAGACCCAAATCATCAGCGTATTGTTTGAGTAGACGGTCTGCCGGTGGAAGCCTTTCCTTGAGAAAAATTTGTTTGTTGTTATTCGGGTTTCGAATGTTAGCCAACCAAGATTTTCTGTTGTAGATTTCACTTTTTTCCCCAAAATATAAAAATTTAACTATCACAGCTGGGGGATAATTGATATTTTTCCACTTTCAAGTAAGTGACAGGCTTTAAAATTACTCGGGCTAGTTTTATACTGAAGAAATTGGGCCAAAAAATCGCATACCTGATGTGACAACGGTACCTGATTGTTTACTATTGGCAGGTTCTCCAAAATTAGGCAATCCTTAGAAGAATACCTTTCCTGTGCAGATACTCTTTGCTCCAAATCATCCACTTTGTTCGCAAGATCTAGAATAATCTCATCTTTTTTGCCCAGATCCGTCAATAATTTATCGAAAATCTGTCTCACATTGGTGTCGGAAATCTTTTTCAGCATCGAGGAATACATGTCTTTCTCAAAACGTGATCCCATGTTAAAGGAACTCTCAGTTAAATACATAAGTTTGGAATTAGTAGTAAAGAAATTTCACACGTAAAGAAAGAATTGAGAAATTCGAAGCAAAACAATTTGTTTAAACGCGGCAAGAAAAAGCGACTGTTCAGCGCTGCTCATTTTGTTCAGCGCTGCTCATTTTGTGATTGAGCAGCGACTATTTTAAACAATATTTTTTTTGGCGTTACGGGGATCGACCCAATGACGGGTCCATCTTGTTTTCTCAAAATGGGTTGGGT